GGCCCGGCCCTGCCCCGCCGCCCGCTCCTTCGCACCTCACCGGTGTCCTCCGGCCCCGGCCAGCTGGCCTGACCCCCGCACCTCTCGCCCGCCCCTTCCTTCCCGGCCCCTCTGCCAGCCCGCCGTCCTCTCGCCCGGCAGAGCGCGGTGCGGGTTCCCCGCAAGACTTCTGCTCTGTCCCTCCTCACCAGGCTCTTCTGGCACCCCTCCTGGGGAGGCTGCCCATGGCGCTTCGCAAGGCTCAGCCCCTTCTCGCTCTTTGCATCCTTCCCCTGGATGGGTTTGTGCCTCAAAAGTGCAAGGAAACTTGCGCCTGCCTTGGCCACTTTTTCTCAGTCTCATGAGGTTCCCCCGTTGCCTCTCAGCATTGCTTGTGGTGACTCTCGATGGGCGTACAGCCTGGTGCTTTCTACCAACACACCTCCAGCTCCTCACATTCACCTCCTCCTGCCCGTTACCGGGACGAGCCTCCTGCAAGGCTCTACCTGGCCTTTCCGTCCCCCTTCTCCACTGCTGCTCCTTCCTCTCTGCCGCCTCTTCCTCGTGGCCCCATGGAGATTTTGGCGGTCCCCTCCAGTTCATCCTGCACATGGGGACTATCCTGTTTCTTTCCTGCTAGGCCTGTGGTTTTCCCTCCTTCCATGACGTTTTCTTTCCTTATGGGTTCTGTCAACAGTAAACTACACCAGAGGTTACTTGCTCTCAAAAACAAAGGAAAAGAAAGTTCCTTTGGTTGGTTCTCCACACCAAACCAGACTTCCTCTGTCTGGTGGTGAGGTGAGCACGAGGGAGGATCTGTAGCTAGGATGGTCTCCTGCAGCCTCCCGCATGTCCCAGCAGCAGCAGCACAAAATGACCTAACTGTGTAAGAGTCTTTGATGTTGAGCCTGTCAGCTCACTCCCAGCTGTAAAAGGGAAAAGAACTGCCTCAGAGTTGCTGCTTGCCATGCTGTGGTCTCCCCCATCCCTCCTCCCCTTTTTCAGCTGGCAGAAAGTTGGAGATGGCAGAGATGCGTTTTCTCCTCCACTTGGGGATGGAATGGATTCCCCCTTCCCCTTCTGTTATCCCCGCTGTAATTACAGCTTTGGTAATGGCTAATACACAGTTTGGTTTTACCATTGACAGAATAGTTGGTTACATCATACAGCAGGTCATTATTTCTTTCTAATACTTCTTAAAAATTACCGAGCTGTAGGTAAGTTGGGTGGCATTTCAGGACACAGGCTGAAAGACAGTGCCAAATTCCAGGTTTCAGCTCTAAAGAACTTGGAGTGAAAACAGAAAGAGCATCACTGTGCGAATGGTGTAAATAAAAGGAGGCTGTGTATGGTTGACTGCTGAGAAAACCCTGCGTTGACTTGTGCTGTCACAGGTAATGTTATGTCATGTAGTTATAAATAGATAAACCAGTTAAGAGCAAGGCACCTTCAGGTCACCTGGTGCCTCACATCTCTATGCTGAGCTAGACATGCTGTCTTTACTGCAAGTCCCAGAGGATGTGCAAGTCTCTAGGTACCTCTTTCCTGCAATCCACTGAAAAATGTTATAATTACACTTAGCTTCTTTCTGTTCCTCTCATCTCCGCTGCTGTCTTTAATTTATGGCTTTACTTTCAAACCTGGAAATGGGATTCCTTTAAAAGAAATAATTAAAAGAAACAGTACTGGTGTATCAAGAAATATAAATGAAAAATGTTGTAAGTAGTGCAAGTGTGTGTTTTCATTAATCCATCTGGCAGTGAGTAGTTTTGAGCTTTTTTTTTAAAAAAAAAAATAATTGCTTAGCAACCAGTATTGAGTGAGTGAGCCAAAAAGCAAGTGAAACGTGCCGCTGGTACCCACTTCATTTCTGAGCTGTTGGATTTACTCTTCTGTTTGCTCAGAAAGGACAAACCAAGCTGCCTGGGTTTGAGAACTCTCTATTCCAAGGAAACAGCTGTTAGAAAATTTGTTTAGCCACTTTTGCTCGTACTTGATAATGCTGCGTGGCGCAGGGTGTGCTTTTGAAACTTAGTATTTAAGAGGTGCAGCGTTCCTGAATTTATTCTTTGGGGGTATGTGTGGGAAAAAAACCCAACAAACCAAAAAAACCCAAAACCAACCCTGTTTGAAAACTTACCTGGTTTTCACAAGCAGTTGGGTGGCTGGTGACGTTACTGATGTGCCATGGAGGGTGCCGGGTGGCTCTCGGTGCCCCGGGGGGTACTGCCTGTCCCAGAAGTAGAGGGGCCGCGCCGTCCCCATCGCCCCTGCGGCGGGGGGCGGGGCCCGGCCCGGCCCGGCCCTGCCGGCGGCCTTTGGAATAGGGCATGTCCCGCCTTGTCTTGTCCTCCCTCGCTGTCCATGGGTTGGCTGTGCACCTGTGTGTGTGTGTGTGTTTCTTTGCCTCTGCAGGGGGAAGGTGGTAGAAAGGTAGTAATGCCCTTTTTTCAAGCCGTTGATGGAGTCGAAACTAAAGTGACGCTTGGGGTGCAGGAAATAGCCTCTTCCTTGAGTGCTTATCACTTGCTTTCCATTTAGTGCATTCCACGTCTACAGCTGCTGCTCAGCCACTGCTTACAGAGTTATTTTTCCTACAGTTGCTACAAGTCAAGCTGTGTTCCCCAGTCATTGTCTTCTGTCAGGACATGGTCAGGGCTTGGATGCAGTGTGCAGCTGCTTTGCTGTATTGGAACTTAAAATCCATTTTCATTAATGAAACATACGCAAATGCAATGAATAC